TTACATTACATTTTCACACTATTTGAAAGCTTCGCGCGTATGTATAACGCTTGTACATGTATATGCGTACCTTTTATATGTATGTAATCGAAAGTGGTGTGATGTTTAGGCAAATAAATTAAATTTTTACACTCGAAAATTTTGTACACGCCACTGCAATTAGTAACAATTCGTTCGAAGCTCTTAAGGGTTGCTTATAACTGTTTTTGTCGAAAGTTTACGTTGTTGTATTATTCATCAGACATTTCGATGGTACTAAAGTGTTTATTGCGTACACCTGTGCGCCAGGCAGCAAGTGGCAAATTGACTGATATGAGGAAGAAATGAAAGCGCTGAAGTGAAAGCTCTGAAATTCATTTTTCATGGAAAAATTCTGCAATTCAAAGTATTTGTTGTATTTATTAGTAAATGTTTTATTAGCAAATTAATAAGAATGAAAAGTATTTTTGCAAGATAAAACATAAACAAAAATTTTCCAAAGCAATTAAAGGAAAAATAATAAATTTAATAAGAAGCTTTAATTTTTATTAAATTTAAATATGAAGGATTTTAACTTGAAATAATTTTATTTATGCTTGAGGATTCTATTTCCAGCATTATAAAATTTTCGAAAAAGCTTACTTTTGTTAGCCTTCAACATTTTTTATTGTATTAGTGAGAAAGTACCAATCACAGCTTGTCTTTATACAAAAAGTGATAAATTTAATTTCCACTTGATGAAAGATTCTTAAACGAATATTAGTTCGAAACAAGGCTTTCATAAAATTATTTGTTTTGAGAAAAAAATACCAAATAAAAAGCTTTCAGCATACTTTCATGCTTACTTTTCCGTATGAATCTGTCAAAATTTGCTTAAAAGTGGAAGCTCATTTTGTAAGCTTTTATCTTAAATTTGCCTAAATTGTAAAATAAAATATTTCAGTTTAAGATATATAATATAATAAGTTTTTTAGCTTATTTTAAATGATTATGTATAATTAAAAAAGAAAACATTAATATCAAATATAAGTGAAAGCTTAATTGAAAGCATTATTTTGAAGATTTTAAATAAAAAATTAGAAAATATAAAAATTCTAGCTGGAATAGCTCTAGACATATTCAGTTTTTTTCTATATAAAATTGAAGAATCACTATAGTGAAAGCTTAATTGAAATGTTAGATTATATAAAGTTTCTTAAACTAAATATGAAAATGTTGATAAATGTAAACTAGTTTACTAAAATTAAAGTAAGGGCGATTTTTGTGGAATTTCATTGTTAATTCATTTAGATGACAAAAATTAATTTATTTTAAAAATAGCAAAGTAGAAATGATAATCGATAAAAAGAGCTTTCTGGCTAGTTTTCTCTTATAAAATTTAACCAAATAAAGTTGTAATAGATAGACTTTGAGCTTTCACCATTGAAAAATAGCTGAAAAAACTGTAAGCAAAAAAGAAGACGTGTCAAATTAACTGATATTAATTTATTCAAGCTTTTAAGATATTCTCTCAGCACAAAAATACATATTTAAATCCCTTTCTTCCATTTGTCAACAAAGTATGCTTTAAGGAGCTTAAAAGCTTTTGGTGTATCATTTTAAGAACATGATTTGATTGTTTTTTTTTTTCAACCAGCGAGAACCAAAAATGTTCTATATTTTTGGAGAAAGCTTTGGTTTCTGTTCTCCAAAGACTTTAAAGTTCTTCATATTATGATTATATCAAAGTAAATTCATAATTAGTTTTAACGAAAAATAATTCTTCAACACATTTTATCGCTCCAAAGGCTCAGAAGCTTGAAATTTTAAGAAAATCTCAATTCGATATTCACAATAGTTGCCACACCTTGTGAATCCATTTACTTGTGGATTGGGCAGAGCACATTTAGATCATAACTGTCAGGCAGGCGCTCATGGGATAAAATTTTGCTCAGGAGCTAATGCATATGATTTGTGAGCTCTTCGCTACCCCAACTAGATAGCTCAGCCAGTAAACCATCATCTCTTATTTCTTGGCGGTGAATTACTTTGGAAATCCGGTTGCATTCCCTCCAAGTGTCTCTACTTAGATAGGGATACTCGAGCGAGAGGCTTACTGTTTAGCTCCACAATAGACCCGTTAAATCATCACACCTCTCTGTCAGTTGTTCAACAACTTTAGGGACTGCTCAATTATTGAGAGGCCCACCTGCCTTCTTGATTATCCCTTACTTTCACGACCTCAGACGCCCCTCTGCTTTCGATGTAATGCTTTCGTTGTTCTCAGGTTAAACGTTAAGATCGACGTTTTCCAAGACTGCTTGCACCCATCTCTTTTTGTACCTCGAGATTCCATTAAATTTACAGCCATAATACCGGACCTCAATAAGTATTCTGCAGGCCTTTCCGTCAAGTGACTCAGTCTTAATTTTATGGTTTGTTAGCTGAGATTTAGTTGTTTGTTAATGGTCTTGTAGCTGCTTTGTTTACTCCGCTTAGGGACAGATTAATTAATCCAAGTCACCAAGGTAATCTAGCGATGAGATTTAGTCATTACAACCGGATTTTTGTATTCTGAGGATGGGTTCAGTAAGTGCTACATAGCATTTCCTCAAGAGCTTAGCAACCATTCGCTTCTATTACTGGATTTCCCGTGTTTCAGAGGCAAGCACATTTTAGCTTCCATCGCTGCTATTTCCACGGCAGGGTTGGTTGTAACGACAACCAGTCGTACGGACATTGCCTTTGCGAAAGCCGACTTTAGATATAAACCCACCTTTTCCAAAGCTGCAAAGATGTAACAGACGAACTTGGTTTAAGTAGTCGCTATAAAATGCCATGATTACATTTGAAGTCAGCACCCATATCTACATATATATTATATACATATGTCTACATATATATAATAAAAATTTTTATTTTTTTTTTATTTTTTTTTTTTTCAAATAAATCCTGTCTTCGCTACCTTTCGAGCTTCGTCGAACTTAGCCTACCAAGTTTTACACTTTGCGCCAATTAAAAGTATTTAGACACACTTAATCCAACTTTGGATTTTGAGTAGCAAAGTACGAGTATAAAGCAACACTTTCCAGGGAAAATCAGAAATGTGTAAGATCTTTACAACAACAAAGTTGCTGGTGGTTTTCACTTAAACTTTTCCACCTCACTTTCTTGTCTGAAATCTGCCAACATCACACGGAGTGTAAGCCTTTTTTAAAAAAGAAAAAAAAATATTTTCTTTTCTTGTGTGTGTGTGTGTGTGTATGTGTGTGTGTGTGTGTGTGGGTGTGTGTGGGTGTGTGTATGTGTGTGTGTGTCGAAATGTATGTTCCCAGTTATTGTGTCAAAGTTTACGAGAAAATTACGAAACTCCATTACGAACTATGCAGTTTTATTCCAAATGAAGTTTTTTCTTACTCATTTATATAAATATATATATATATATTTGTAAATATATGCATTTATAGTGAAATTATTATATATAAGCGTGAGTAGACTAATGTTTCTCTTGCTAAATAAATATGTATGATGATCATAAATAAAGTCGTAGAAAGCAAGCTTTCATATATTTTTTTTTTTTAGGTTAGACTGCGTCAGGAGCTTATTATATGATTTTAAATATAATAAGCTCCTGATGCAATACTTATGTACCTATTTGTTGTTTCAATATGTTTGTAGTTGTTGTAGACCAAACTCACTCTCCATTAACGAATTAATGTTAAAAAAATGTTGAAGCTTTTCTTCGTTTCTTTTTTTTTTAATTAAATCATTTTAAAGAAATTGAAGCAAACTCAGGTATTAATATTTTTATTTTTTTCTTGTTGGTTATGTTGGTAACTGCTTAGACAAAGCTCTCAATCTTTTCAAAATGAAGTCCAAAAAGCTTATTTTATAAAAAACTTAATTTAAAAAATTACAAATTTTTTTAGTTTTAGAAAATCTATTTAAAAGAAAGGAGTTTTTTCTTATTATTTTTTTACAATGAAAGCTCCTTAAACATGTAAAAGCTTTCATACTTTCAACCGCCGAACTTATTATACACTATCTGACTCTAACATGAAATCATGTTAATTTTTTCAACACCTTCAGTTTATTCTTTTCCGAATTCTTAAAGCTTAAAGTTTTTTAGTGAAATATCTATTTAGTTAGAACTTTCGCATCTTTTCATAATGACGAAATGTTGTTTCATTTATTAAAGCTTAATAGTTTCATATATCCAACGGATAAGAAAAGCTTACATACTTAGAACAACAGTGAAAGCTTTTTTCAAATTTTTCAATTTCATTTATTTGAATTTTAAAAGCTCCTCGATTGTTTTTTTATTTTTAAATTATTTTATTATTTTTAACTGCCACCAACAATATCTAATAAATCTATTAAATTAAAAATAAAGCTCAAGGTCAATTAGAAGATCTCCAGATTTTGGAGTAAATGTTTTCAAGCAATTTAAATTCGATGCATTTACTCCAGCGTTTAAAGGTCTTTTGATTGATCTAGACTTTGGTCTTTATGAAAAACGTTTATCCTCACCACCCTGCATTGGTAAAAATATTTTTGTAATGTTGTTGTGATTTCTATTATACTAAAATCTCCCAACAAATATTAAAAAATTTAATGTTTTCCAAGAAAAGCTTTTTTTTAAGGGGTAAGCCCTAGTTTTATTGATTCATGGGGTGTTAAGACTCTCAATTTATTATTCTGTTTAAAGCAAAGGCAAAATGTGAGTATGCTGTGAAAGATTTAAGGAGCACATGGAAGCTTCCTCGACATAAAAAAGCTCCTACACTTTGAAGAAAAGTTACGACCAGTCGTTTAAGAAATATTTCAGTTGAAGCAGTCGAAGATGAAATCTATTTCTAAAATAACAATTAGAATCTGCACAAACTGTGAAAGCTTTGGCAATCGCAAAGCAGCTTTTTGATTTAATTTAATTACCAATATCAAAAATTTATTGATAATTTAATATTTTTTTTATACTCTTTACACATTCGGAGCTCTCATTGAGTAATTTTTTCTCTCTTCCTCATTTTTTCCCTCTCCAGGCTCTCCCACCGTTGTAGCGCGCAATTCAACGCCCGTTGCCTACCCGGGCTCACCACTGCACTTAGCAGTCGAGTTCTGCGCCAATCCACCAGCGCACGCGGCACGTTGGCTGCACGGCGATCGTGTCTACACGCCGGGTAATCAATACGGCAGCACTGTATTGGCTTATGGCGTCACGGTAAATATTGAACAGCTTCAGTTAATTAAATTCAAATACGAGTATTAGCTAATTAATTTACAACTAACTTTCTGCACTGCCCACAGGATCTGCCAACGCCATACTGCAAGGAAGCGCGTCTAACCTACGTAAGCATGCATGAGCGTGTGCCGCGCACTTTCTATTTTATAGTTTCCTCGCCAGGTGGCGTTGCTGAAGCCACATTCAAGGTGAACTTTACAATGCGTTATCGTGCCGTCTCCAATGCGGTCGACGATGAAGAGGAAGAGCTGAGCGAACCGGAGGAGATACATTTTCCCGTCTTTGGCGCGGGTGCGACGGCGCTTAGTGGGGGACGTGAGAATGGTGTAGGTGTGGTGGCGACATGCGTACTAACGACGCTTGTGCTGTTGATTGGTGAAGTGTGTGCACGAGGTAGGCGTGGCTGGAGTTAGGTGCGGCAGTAGGCAAGTCGCTGACAATTTTTTTTTTTTATTTAAGGTTTGAGATATATTTTTGTTTTATATATTTTGAATTTTTTTTCTAAATTTTAGCTACCTAACGACACTTTCAACTTAGCTTATAATGTCAACTACAATATATATATACATATATTTGAGTATATATGTATGTGAAAAGTATTAGCGAATACTATAAAACAATACTATTAGCTACTAAACTATACGCATACTTATGAGGAAAAAAAAAACTATGCTAAAATATCCTAAACCCCACTATTTATTATATATGCATACAAACGTATGTATGTCTGGAGGTGAAGAAAAAATTTAAATTTTCCAAAACACAAAAAAAATACTAGAATGTGTGCTATCCTATCCTTAGCTATATACTGTATACCTACAAACCCTTACTAAACGCCTAGAATTTTAAGTGCATACTAAATTACTACATACATACTTACTTACTTCTACGGTAGCATATTGAATTATGTAGCTCAAAAAAATAATAATAAATAAATAAAAAAACAACTTAACCCCCCGCTAGCAAAACAAAGGGTAATTATATACTTCACTTATTACATCTTAATACATATGTATGTACATACATCCTACATACTCATTTAAGCCTAGTACTAGTAAAGGTTTTAGTGATTAGCTCTCAAAAATTACGGTTTTTTTTTTGTTGTTCAAGCTTTAGCATGCGCTTGTTGAAATTAACTCCCAAGTTTATGCTTAGTAATGAGTTTCTTGTTGTACAGTTGCACGCTCAATTTTTTCCTGAAGCCTTTTGCTTTTATAATATATATATTTTTTTTCAACCGCAAGCAGCAAAAAAGCAAATAAATCCAATAAAAATGTAAACGAATAGTAGCAATTTGGAAAAAAATGAGTTTTGCTTTTTTTCGCTTTTCAGCTTGAGCAATTACGAAGCATAGTTTTAGGATGAATATTTTTTCAAAAACATATAATGTGCTGCTCTATAGGGGAAAAACATATAGTGTTACCACTTTGCTGCCAAATTATATTAGGTAGTGTAATTATCAAGAAAATAAATATTAAAAAAGTTTACAATAATTTTTAAAACTTTCTGCTTATTTTTCTTTACTAACTTTTTTATTATAATAATTTTTTTATTTTATAGTTTATTAATTTTAATTTTTTTTTCTTTACTAATTTCTTAATTTATTTCTTTTTTTAATTTTTTCTTAAACCTATATTCTTGAAACTTTTTACGCAAAGCAAAATATGAATTTATTTCAAATATAGATAGATTTTTAAAGACCATTTATCATACTTCTCAGAATACACCTAGAGGGGTTGCAAATTTTTGTAATATTTGAATTTTGCTCTGTCAATGAATCGAACCCATTAACCACCCCAATGTAACCCCATGGCCGAAACTTTGGCTACTGTGGCTATTAAATTTTTCTGGTATTAAAGTTGTGCATTAACTTTTTTAAATCAATTTAAAAATTTATTTTTCAATTTAAAATCATTATTTAAATTTTTAAATACTATATCATACTCATACTATATTATTTTACTTTAGTTAATTTAATTTTATTTTATTTATTTTATTTTACTTTATTTTATTTTATTTTAAGTTATTTTACTTTATTTTATTTTATTTTATTTTATTTTATTTTATTTTATTTTATATTATTTTATTTTATTTTATTTTATTTTATTTTATTTTATTTTAATTAAAAAAAAGTTTCTTTCGATTTCTCGTCCAAACTTACCATCTTAAATTAAACTGTAAATATATTTGCCGTCAAAGCGAAATGAATAAAGTATAAAAGTTAACTGAGTGTAATGTGTATAAATTTAGAGAAAAAAAACATCATTATAACGAAAAATTATAAAAATTTTGTTCCGTTTTGGAGTAAACAAGTGTTATTTGAAAATAATATTAAAATTATTAAATTCACTTAAAATAAAATTCCAAATTTTCTTTCAAAATGTTGAAATATGAAATTGAAACAAAACATTTAGCAGCCGACTGATTTTTTTTAAAAAATATTTATTATTAAAATGTGTGTAAAGAAAGTGTAATGGGGAGATATGTGTAAGAGTGGTAAGGAAAATATTTTTAAGCGCATATGAAGCATTGCATACATTTAGGCATAAACCGATTATTAAGTATAATTATTGTATGATATATATTATTAAGACAAAAGTGTTATTTGTAATGTTAATTATTATACAATTAAGAAAATTAAATGATTAATAACTATACTAGAATGTGGTAAGAAATTCCTTCCAAAAATGATGGTATTTCATTTAGTTTTTAGGGTAAGGGGAGAAGAAAAATTAAGATTTTAATGAAATATACTAAAATTTTAGGTGAAATTATTAAGTTAATATTTTCAATTTTATTGCCAGTAAAACTTTTGTTTTATTTTATTTATTTTATTATTATTTTTTATATTTTATTTTTTTTTTTGGATATTGTTTAATTTGCGAAATAAGTAAATCAAAACAATTGGCTTTCTTCAAAGGCTCGAAAATTTTAGTTAAGACCGTGAAAGCATTGGTCAGCTCAATAAAACGAAAGCTCCAATAAATATGATTTCAAGTGAAAGATTTCAGCTAACGAGAAATTTGGAAACATTTCATTTATGTTTGAAATTATTGGTTATTCACTTTATCTTTCGTACATTTTTTATGGTTTACAAAAAGTTTTACTTTAAAAAAAAAATGTGTAAAAAGGCGCCCTCCATAAAAACGAAAAAAAGCATTTTTCGTTAGACTTTCCTCAAAAGGAAAATAATTATTATTGCACTGTAAATAGATGAGAAAAAGTTAACTGCAAAATTGTGTTAAATGTTGTTTATGTGTAGCTTTTAAGGAAATATTAAGGAAAAAGAAAACACATTTATTTTTTTTATTATTGTGAATTTGAAAGCGGCATAAGAAATATAACTCCAAGCAAATGTTAAGTGTGGCAAAAATTATATAGGGAAATACCCCAGCAAGAACAAGAAATTACTTTATAAAAATTGAAAAAAAATATATAAATATATGTGTAAGCAAAACTATTTTTTTTTCAGTGCAACGCAAACACTGAGGGAAAAATAGCATAAGTGAATGGGTTAGTTAAAAAGTAAATAAATAATAATTTAAAAAATAACTAAAAAAAAAAATAATAATAAAATTATGTAGCTATTTATTATAAAAAAGAAAACAATAAATAAAAAAAATATTACACTACACTGGAAAAAATATTTAGCATTATAAGTAACAAATGGAAAACATTAAACAGCTGCTATTGTAAAATATTTCATAGGGAAAATATTGCAAATCTTATTTTATAAAAAAAAATCAAAAGAAACAAAAGAATATATCTCATTTGTATAATGTGCGATGCGAAAATTATTTGTATACATGTAAAATGGTTAAAAATAGTTTTAAGTTATTGACTATGTGTTAACAAAAATCCGCCAAGATATGGCGGAGTAGAAAAGACAGAGAGAGAGGGAGAAAAAAACCGCTTTTGTAATTAATTTCATAAATAAAACTATTAAGCTTAGAAATGTATTAGAAGGAAAAAATAATAAAATGAAATTAACGGAAATTCAGAGAGGAAAGTGAAAGTAATAAGTAATGGGATGTAAGAGAATGTGAAATATTAAAAAAATGATTGGATGCAAAATGTTTTAGTTGTTACTAGCCATAATTAAGTTGAGTGTATCTGATTAAAAGTTTTCACAAAAGTTTATGCAAAAAAAACAACTATCAGCGAAACTTTCAAGGAAAGCTTTAAGAAAATTTCCAGTTTTTAACCTAGCGGAACCACTTTTTCTAAAAAAAAAGCACAAGAAAGCAATAAGTGAAGAATTTGTGAATTGCATTCATTAAAAAAAGCTGTTAAAGCGCTGTAAAGCTTTATCAATAAAGCAACTTACGCCATGTTTCAAACAAAATATTCTGATATATATGTGAGGATTCTACACCAGAACTCGCAAAAAAAAATAATTTCAGTGAAACTTCAAATAAAGATCCACGAAAAAGGTCAGCCATTTTCTTCTGAGCGTCTTGTTCGAAAAAATCACCCCAAGCGCAATTAAAGCTTTGTCAAGGAATCAGATTTTTTGTGATGAGAATTTCAATAACAGCTTCTAGAAAAAATAAATCTTTAATTGATGCGACCATGAAAAAAGCTTCAATTTCAAGCTTTTAATTTATTTCTTTTTAAAATTTCAATGAAAAAGGTTCAAAGAAGAAAAAAAGAACTTCAGTTATTAAAAGATCTATGAAGAAAAGACTTGTAATTTATTTCTTTATGAAAATTTTATGACAAAGGTTTCAGAAAGCAAAAAAATACTACAATCATTGAAAGCTCGTTGAAAAATTCTCAATTTCCAACCCAGAAAAGAAATTCACTTTCATAAAAAAAAACTTTAAGAAACAGTGTTTAAGAATTGGAAATAAAAACTTTCCGCAAAAAAAAAAGCTGCTAATAAAAACTCCAAAAAGTTTATGAAATTTCGAAAATTAAATACAGAAACCTTAAAAATATATTTGACGAAAAAAAGCTACCGAATTGTCATTATTTGAAGAAGAAAGTTTAACTTTTATGACCAGATAAACATTTTTTTATAGCTTTGATAATACAGAAAAAATTAACCAAAAGCTGTTTTTACTTTTCATTTGAAAACATACAAAAAATAAGCGAAAATGCTAATTTTATCGAAAATCTCTAGAAAATACGTGAAAGCTCATCAGCTGATTTAATTTAACTGCAAATTTGTAGGTTTTATTTGTACAGAAATTAGAAAAATTATCTTAACTTTTTACTCAAATGTCTGAAATAAAAGCTAGAGAGCAGCTTAAAGCTCCCTGAAAAAAAACGATAACTCAATAAAAAGAAGGTTTTGAATGCTTTTTAAAGCTTTGAATTTTTTCTGACGTTAGTGGCACAAGAAAGTTTGGATGTTTTCATACATCACGAAAAGCTCTTGGAAACCATAAAGCGCTCTAAATTTATTTGGCGGCTCTTTAATAGAATTGTGTGGAATTTCAATGGAGGCTGACTTGATTATAACGAAAACATTTCAATTCGATAAGGCAAGTTCGATAAAACATTTTTCATTTCAATTATATTAGTAAAAAAGAAAACCGAAAGCTCCTTAAGCTCACCAGCATATGACGCCAGTAAAAGCTCAGACATTTTGCTTGCCAATCTAACAACGGAATACAAACAAACGCCAATTTGAAGACATACAAAACACAAGATGTTGATTATAGGTATTATGTAGATGTTAATGAAAAGCAAATGAATTCAAAATTCAATAAAAAAAGAATATTTAATATTAATAAATGTGGAAAAATAAGTAGCTACTAAAGAATAAAAACTAAAATATATATGTATAAAAAATGAAGTACATAAATTCCATGTAAAAGGCAACAACAAAACAGTTAGTCGTAATGTTAACTAATAAAGAAAAAGAAGCCCAAGCAGAAAGAAGCAACAAACAGTGGGAAGAAACTTGAAAAAATTAAACTAAAAATAATTGAAATAAAACATTTTGCGTTGAATGAAAAGTAAATTATTTACAATGCTTAATATTTAAGAATTATATTTAAATGAAGAAAATTGTGCATATGAGAGTATATAAAAACAATAATAATAAAAACATAAAATAAAAATATTTGAAAATGCTGTTTTGGTATAAAATATAGTGAGAACCGGCAAATATTTGAAAAAAAAACAACCAATAATTGCTAATAATAAACAAATGCTACAACAATAATACTAAACACTGTGCAGTTGGAAAAGCAAAGTGGTGGAAGAGGAAACGAACTTTAAATGG